CACTGGCCAGCACTGGGCTTGGTCAAGGGAACCAGATGCTTCCTCCAGGTCTCTCCCGCGGGTGGCAGGGGCCCAGCTATCCACTGTTGTATGCCCAGGCCATTAGGGGGAAGCTGGATTAGAAGGGCAGCAGCCAGCAGGACAGCCTTCAGGGATGCTGGCATCACTGGCTTTGGCGTAACCTGCTGTACCATGTCAGCGTCTCCAATCACTACTCCTGGTGAGCCTGCCTCTTGTTGGATCGTGTCCCCTCTTGACAGCCATTGCATTCTTTGGCTTGTCTTCAGGCTCCGACTAGTGAAGTTCCTGCTTCATCTGCTATTTCAATTCTTGAAAAAAATGTTTCAAGATCTAGATCATGACCCTTAAAATGTCTGTTAAAGCGCTAGTCTTCTCCGTAACCCCCGTGGAGGGGCACGATTTTGATAGTTGTTGGGGACGAGACTGATGGGAGTTTCATTTTTCCAGAAGCCAAAGCAGTGGAAATGGCCACAAGGTGGCCACTGATTCTTTCGTTGTTAATTCTCTTCCATTAGAGCACACACAAAATTAATTTTTTCCTTGGAAACAAATGTTGATGGTCTGCCACTGTAGGCTTCATCTTTAACACCTTTTTTTTTTTTTAAGATTGTATTTATTTTCATTGGAAAGGCAGATATACTGAGAGGAGGAGAGACAAAGATCTTCCGTCCCATGGCTTACCGTCCTAGCAGCCGCAACGGCTGAAGCTGAGAACCAGCTTCAAGGAACCCAAGCCAGGAACCCGGAGCTTCTTCTGGGTCTCCCTCATGGGTTCAGGGTCCCAAAGCTTTGGGCCGTCCTCGACTGCTTTTCCGAGGCCACAGGCAGGGAGCTGGATGGGAAGTGGTGCTGCCAGGATTAGAACTGGCACCCATATGGGATCTGGGCACGTTCAAGACAAGGACTTTAACCACTACGCTATCATACCAGGCCCCATCTTTAACATCCTAATGTGAACTATTCGTGTGTAAACTGTTCATTTTTTTGAACATTGGCACTAAAATCTCTTTTACATTTTTTCATTCATATAAAGATAACAGATTCCATGTATTTCTTTTTTTTTTCCTTTTGAGTTTTTTTGAAGTGAATTTTATTTTTTTTTAAGATTTATTTTATTTTTATTGCAAAGTCAGATATACAAAGAGGAGGAAAGACAGAGAGGAAGACTTTCCCTCCGATGATTCACTCCCCAAGCAACCGCAATGGCCGGAGTTGAATCAATCTGAAGCCAAAAGCCAGGAACCCGGAGTGTCTTCTGGGTCTTCCTCGTGGGTGCAGGGTCCCAAGGCTTTGGACTGTCTTCAATTGCTTTCCCAGGCCACAGGCCGGGAGCTGGATGGGAAGCAGGGCTGCTGGATACAAACCAGCACCCGTATGGGATCCTGGCATGTGCAAGGCGAGGACTTTAGCCACTAGGCTACCACGCTGGTATTTCATATGTACAATTCAAAGATGATAACCATGCTTTTCTTCCTTTCCTTTCCCCTCCCTGAACTGTCCTCCCTCCTTCCTTTGTTTTTAATTTGTGCACAAACATGATGCTAATCACTCTGGAATCACAGGCTTCCTACAACACCAACTGTAATATTCAATAAGCAAGAAATAGGAAGAGCACAGTTCCAGCAAACCAAAGACAATTGAGTCAGAAGAGGTCTGCTTCGTCTCAGTTCATGTGTTTGTATACAGTATTAACTACACGTATCAGTGAAAACATAAGTTATTTGTATTTTGGGGACTGGCTTATTTTACTAAGTATAACCATCTTTTATAAGGTGTCATTGATTCCATCATTCTCCCAACCAAGCTTCCCCACCACTTCTATGTTTGCTCTTGCTTCAGTTTTAGCAGAGTTTATATTGCTCTGATGGGGCCTTTAAACTGATATGCTTCGTAGCGCTTCAAACTAGATTCTGTTCAAACATGTTCAAACAAGTTAGTACGAATTTATTTCAGTGTCAACAAGATCTTGAAGTGTCTACAAAACTTTTTCATAATCCACATTTGTCATCTCATATGCACACATATGCACACAGGTATCTCCCATTGAATTCATTCAAAAGATAGATGACATATGCTAGAAATTTATTTTAAGGAATTCATTGATATGATCCTGAGGTTGGAAATTCCAAACTCTTTAGGGGCACTGGAGATTGTGCTTCGGACACTTGCGTTCCATGGCAGAGTGCTGCTTGAAGTCCAGCCAGCTGCTTGCCAAGAGGTCTTAGGATGCAGGGAATGATGCACCAACCTAAGTTCCTGCCACCCATGTGGCCTTGAAAGAAGATCCTAGTTCCAGGTTTCAGCCTGGCCCAGCCCTAGCTATTGCAACCATTTGCGGAGTAAACCAGAGGAAGAAAGCTCTCTCTCTCTCTCCCTTTCTCTCTCTCTCTCTGTTTCTCTCTCATCCTCCCCCCCATCTCACTCTACTTTTCAAATAAATAAATAAATCTTTTTGTAAAAAAAATGACAAAGATAATATTGAAAGAAAAAGTAAATGGAATGAAAAAAGAAAAGTTGCTTTCATATATAGAAGTTAATGATTATTGAGTGAATAATCTTCCTGATGCTATTCTGAGTAGCATGCATTAACTCACTTAATGCAGTGGTTGTAGCTATATCCATGTTAAAAATGAAACACCCGAGGTAATACACCCTAGAGGTAGACTTTAATTGGAGGTAATCAATAAATTTCAAACCATCAGCAAGTAATAATAGACAACAAATGCCACCTGTTGTATACTGGGTACCCCCTTTAAGTGCCGTGTACACATTGTCAGTCAAGTTCTGCTATGAGGACATGTTTTCACCACCTTGCAAATACAGAAAGCAGGATGTGGCTAGGTTAGGCTACAGGTGCAGGATGTCGCTGAGCCAGAGGTCACAGGCAGGTGGGCTGTTGCTTTCCCCAGTACCTGGAGTGTGACCTTCTGAGAAACTTTCTCTTTTAGACAGAGTGTTTTCTCTGACATTGCTGCTGTTGTTACACTTGAAATATTTGACATTGAAAGAATATTAATTTTGACAAATTCACAAACATTTCCTTCTCTGAAGCTCAGCTGTCTTCTTCAAATATAAATAGGTAATCCATAAAATATGGTTCAGCTTCACAGAGCTCCATGAACATTGTGCTTTCAGCATTACATACCAAAACTTTCTTCTCTCTCTCTTTTTTTTTACAATTATTTATTTATTTCCTCCAAGGGCTTATGTGAAATTTTATTCTTAGCAGTAGTTAACCATCATTCACAATAATCGTTTGCAACATATTGAGGTGCTGACTGTAGCAACTGTTTTTTTAATATATAACCACCTTGTATATGATGATCATTGCTAGCTTATAAACGAGGAGACTGGTCTAGGAAAGGCCTGTAGCTCACTCAACCAGCATGACCAATCAGTGACAAAACTAGGACCCTAGCTGAGCAGCCGTGCTCTGAAGGTGCAGCCCATTCCGTTGATTCTTGCATTCTCTGGTTGCAGATACCAAATCCAGATCATAGAGATAGGATGGACCCGAGTGAAGGTGAATTATTTGTCTTACATGTGTGAATGTAAAATTAGGAAAAACAATTGTGAAAAGCTAAAATGAAAACATGGTCTTGTTGCTAAAACTTCTTAACTGCATGCAGTTTTCCATAATGCACACTTTTCCATACATTTTTGAAGACCCCTTGGAATATATGGTTTGTAAAGGTTTTGTACCAAAACAGACTAATTTTTAGATTCCATTTTTATGAACTTTTTGAATTACCCACATAAGTGATATCCCTGAGATCGTGTTCCTCACCCTCCCGGTGATAACTTCCATTACTGCAGCCTCTTCATTAACTTTTTCACGCTGGATCCAAAGATTCACCTGAAAATATGACTGGAGGGATACGTGGTCTAACCATGTATTTCCTAACAAGTGCAAACACAAACGCTCGCTTGCCACTGATAAAGAGCATACTCCAGTAGGGATAAGCGTGCAGTATCTGAATTGGGCTGTCCTCTACAGTGTTCCTATGGCTGACAAGGAACTAGGCAGATATTGCTAGGCATCATGCGTGGTGGGGGAAGGAGCAGTGCAAAATGTGTGTGTGGTGACCTTGAGCAGCTGGGTTCGCACAGAGGTGCCATGGTAGACAGATCAAGAAAGCAACCAATTGAATTCTGAAAGATATTAGAGAAAAAAAAATCTGCCTCCATTTGGCTTGATTAGGGCAATCAAGGCTGTCCGATGGCTGTTCCCTGAAACAGAAGCTCCTAGGAACGCAGGTGCGGAGGGAAATGACTGCAACCAGGTCACTGGCTTAAAAGAAATCTGAAATCATTACTCCTGAACTCTGGCCTCCACTCTAACCCAGCCTTGGGGACCCACTTTCACAACCAGCCCATAACAAGAGTCTACAGACGCTAATCCCGTGATGACTAGTCTTTGCAACAAGAAAGTCCTAACTTGTTTAGAACTTTCTACATGAACCTGATCCCAAGGCTGGCCTCAATGAAGATGAAAAAGGGGGCATATCATCATCCTCTAGGAGTCCTTAGCATCGAGGATGCCATTACCTTGGTGTCCTTGTTCCAAGTGTAGAGCCTGTAGATTTTATTTGTGTGGTTTTCTTTATAAACTGCACGCACCTCTGCAAATGCACATGACTGTCATCCAGGAAACTCACAGTACTTAGCCATTTAGAAACGGATTTTCAATGGTGCCTATGTTGGGACAGGATGTTGTGAATAACAATGAGTCTTTAGACAAGTGAGCATTCTTGGCAAATAGAAAAATTCCTTGCTTCAGTTGTCTAGATCTGTGCTTAATATCAAAAAGAGTAGTGATGGTTATACTCTTATGATGGAGTGATTGGGTATCATTTGAGATTTTTTAATATAGTATCAGTATTCCTACATTGACAGTTATTAACAAAGGATGATTTCATAATCCATTTTGGCAGCATTTATGCTTGTTGAAGTGATCAAACATATCCGTGTGTTCACAGGAATGTAACTTGGAATAGTTTAGCTATCCCAGATACACACTGCTCACCTGAGCTGGAGGAAGGCTACCAGTGCCCACCTGGATTTAAATGCATGGACCTCGAAGATCTGGGACTCAGCAGGCAAGAGCTGGGCTACAGTGGCTTTAATGAGATAGGTCTGTCTAACTGGTAAAACATTTTTAATTTTTATTTTGTGATATTTATGAAATGGGGATAAGGTTTGAATGACTGAGATTTTATACTGTCACTTGCTATAGTATAAAAGAGATACAAATGTTAAGTTTATGCCTTATAATGTTCCATTCTATAATCTGTTCACATACGAGCTGTGTGTTTCAACGTCTTAATGGAGTTAAAGATCTCTCTTTTCAGACTATTTTGATTTGTAATTATTGCCTTTAAAAGCCTTTTCTGAACAGGGTCAGGGTGTTGACTTAAAGAAAAGCAATGCTTGATTTTCTTGCATAAGTAACTTTACAGAAGAAGCAAGGTAAGTTTTAAAATCTATAACAATAAGCATTGATGAGTGTGAGAGCTACAAAGTGCTCTTGTAACAATAAAGTAGCTGGTGGAATAACTAATGAATATCCCTCAATGATGTAATGGGATTATGGGCTTAGTTATGCATTTTCCTTGGTATAACTGCATAAATGTATACATTTCTTCTTCAATTGTACAATTTAGTGCTGACATGTATACACAGAACCAAAGAACCCAACACCCGCCATTAATTGATAATTTATATCATTGTATTTCAGTGCAAGTTGCACATATTTTAATACCAAGGAATAATAACATGGACTTCTAAACAAATATTTTAAGCTCTGATAATTGTGGCTAGAAACATTTTTAATTAGCTTTTTATGAAAGTTTCATAGTCCAAGGTATTTACGAGAGTTGTGGACACATTGTCAGGGACTAAGACGTATAACAGGATTGTGGTTGTGCTTCTTTTGGAAGTCCGATCTGTGTCCTGACTTTGATGTGACATCACATCTCAATGGGCAACTGCACAATGGAGCTCAGGGAGCCGGAACAGGCGCCAGTGCCTATCGACCTTGAAGGCAGTTGCTGTGATTCTGGCCAATGGACCTTCCACTATCAGAAAAAAACACATGCCAGCCAAATCCTGTTCTCATTCTGACCTTCAGCTCATAGCAGCTCCAGCTTGGTAGGACACCTCAGGAAATTAATTTTAAAAACCATGCCTAGTTTTCCTTAATAGACATTTTCTGTGACCTTTACATAACTTTCAAATATTTTTGTACTAAAATGAATTTATCACTTAATGCTTTTTTCCCAAAACTTTGTGAAGTACCTTCATAGGTCTCTGATTTGTTGAATTAACTAGAAAGGATATACTTCTGAATAGAACACGGTGCTGAGCATGGGCTAAGAAGCACAAAGAGATGACAGTTTTCAAGTTCATTTTGCAAATGATATGTTAAACTTGCATTCTGTTTTTAATTTTCCAGAATACATTTGAGAGGTAATGACACAAAAGAGACAGAGGGAGCACCCATCTATATGATATGGCCAAATTGTGGGTGGGATGTTTAGGGCTGAATTCTGGAGCCAATAGTCAGGTACTCAATCCAGGTCACTCACATAGATGATAGAAACTCAGTTACCGGGTCATCACCACTGCCTCACAAGGCCCACCAATCGGAACCTAGAGCCAGGAGCCAGAGCGGACACTGAACCCAGATACACCAGTATGGGAAATGAAAATCTTAACCAGCGTCCTAACCACTGGACCAAATGCCAACCCATTCAAATGTTGCACTGATATTTTATATGTCATCATAGTAAGTCTCCAAAAGTCAGACAATGTTCATCCATTTTTTTGATCAATAATCTTTCCTGTTTAACACAAATTCAGAAGCCAATGGAACCAAGCTTTTCCACTGTTATACCCTCTTCACCTTCATCTGACTTTGTAATCAGTCCTTCCCTGCGTCTCAAAAGTACAGAGGCCTCCTTGAGATTGTGAGAAAGACTTTCAATCATGAACAGAAAAATCAGAGATGTGATGTGAGAGCTGACACCCACAGGTTTGGTAGGTCACTGGAAGAAGCTCCAGCCATCCTTTCAGATAGGCATGGCTACAATGCATGGCCTGTCTCTGCCTCAAGTTCTGTATTCTAGGGCGATTGAATGTCCATGTCTCCTATGGAGAATTGCAAAGATTCAAGGAATCAGCTTCACTTCTGCAAAACAATCTTCTGTCCTTTAAAATACTACTAAAGCAAATCACTCCCTGACCATTGTAAATTTAACCATGTTATCTTAACTGAAGATACTCCTTTTTGTTCCAGTTGACTCACTTTTTTCTTCCCCGTGATGTGCAGTGACTTGAATTAATACAAGGAACACTGATTCCTTGGGAGAGAAGGGCTTCTTGCAAAGTCTTTTTGGCTATAGCAGGGGATTGCTCCTGGGGACATTGGCCCCTACTAAAGCAATGATATTATGTTGCAGGGCTCCCACATTTGTCTCCCCAGGATTTAAGATCCTTGAAAACAGGAAGTGTGTCTTTTCATCTTCATATCTCCAGGGCCTTCAGTGTCTGCCTCATTGCAAGCCTTCTGTAAATATTCACTAATGGACTGATCACAGTGTGTGTTCTTTTGAATTCATTGATAACTGGTCGCATTTATATTAGGAAAAAGAGCCACAATGAGAACTGAGCTATTTTCTTGTTGTTCTTTTCCTTGATTTTGTTTGCTCTTGGTTCAGATACTCTCTGCCCTGCGGGAGTGTCTTTCTGTGCAGACGTAATGTGTCTCTGCTTCTTCTTCTCAAATGACAACTGGAATTATTATCATATGATTAATGAGCATATAATGAAATGTTGGCTTTGAACTACAGCCAAAAGACTTTTAAGTGGTCACTAGAGTTTAAATGGAAATGGATAGCTGCTTCTTGATATCACGTAACTTGTAGATACACAAACTGCTATAATTTAGGAGTTTGTTTTTAAAGGTCTTATAGAAATGAAAGACAATATTTTTCCAAACTGAGAAAAGGAAATTTCTGTTATTAGTCATTTTTGGTCTTCTCCTTATGCATGAAGTTGAATTTCAGACATAATTAGTTACCTAATTATGCAAATGACTTTGGCCAACATGCTTGTCCATGTAAGTGATCATGATTAATTCATAAGCAGCTTATTTTCTTTTTTATCATTCAAATTTTTGTGCAGAATATTGTTTCAATTCATTTATAATTGTTCTTTTATGAGCAATTTTGTCTCAGCCAAATTCAATACTGATCATGTTGAAAAACTGAAATTCTAAAATACATTTTAAACTAGTGTTATCTGTGCCTCTTTGTATCTGTAAAATCATCCAAACACACAGCAAGAGCCTGGGCAGTGTACACGCAGTCTCCATACAAGCACTGTGCAGACCTGTAGGCACAGACCACACCCTCAAAAAACCTGGGGTAAACACAGACCCTCTATGGATTGTAGACGGGGCCAGCAAGGCACCTAGATTCTGAACCAATGGTTTCTAGAGGGACTGAATGGTCCCTAGAATAAGGGAATCCTGCAGCTCCATGAGGAAGCATAAGGCAGAACCCCCTATTCCTGGAAGTGCTTAGTAGATCCATAGAATGGAAGTGACAGACTCAGTTTTGAGGTCCCCTAATGCTACAAATCTGGGTTGACAACAAGATAAGAAGTAAACTTATCTGTTAAGGTTTGTACATTGACTTGGAGGGCCTTTTAAAGCATACCAATTCCCAAACACCACTTATTAGGCGAAATGAATCAAAATCTTACAGGATCCTCTGGGCTTCAGCAACATGTGCATATACCCACATATATACCTGTTGTCCAAACCTTTGTTACATCTGTCTTGGTCTGTTTTAGCTGTTGTAATAAAATCCCAGGTGGGTGGCTGGGAAAGAGCAAACATTTGTGTGTTGTAGTTATGGAGGCTGAGAAGTCCCAGGATCATAACCCTAGAATATTGTGTGTGTGGGAGGGGGTGTGAGGGCTTGTCTCAGCATGCTTAGTGCCATGCCTGTTTCACAGCAAATGAATCCCCCTGTGAAGGCTCATGTCTCATTGTTAATGTAGGATTTGCTCAACTTTCAAATTTCTTCCATATTTTTCTCTCTTGGCATTCTATTTTTTTTATCATTTGTATAACATCTGTTATTAAATGCAAACATTAAATGTGATGAGAAAACAAGTATTTTTATTCAACCCATAGTGGAATGTAAGCTCATCCTGAAAATTGGTTCAGGAGTTTTGAATGATGTTTAGCCATGTTTCATGCTGCTGTTTGAAATATCAGATGAGAACTTTTCAAATAATAGAAATAGAAAACTATTCTATGTCTATGACTAGGATTTAGTTTAGTGTGTACATTTTTATTGCAGTTGCACACACACACACACACACACACACACACACATACACACATACACACAACACCATAAAAACTAGTTGGCAAAAGACAGTTAAGATTTATAATGCTTTTGGGAAAACAGCAAAGGATTTTTTTTCTTATCTTTGTCTTTGTGCTAGCATTACCACTGGGAATCCTTATCAATTTTCATGAAAATACATATGGAAGAGAGAACGTATGCGAGAGCATTTAACCAGTCTTTAATGTACAGTAATTCTGTATTGATTCTCTGAAGGAATTCCTGTCTCACAGGTCGAAGAAAAGCTTACATTCTTGTTGAACTGGATGAGATCATGAAACTCTACAAGAGGGATGGCTAGGAATGCCCTTAGTCAAATGTGAGAAACTTTGGAGTTTCTCCTCATGGCTTAGAGAGGAGGGGACTCTCGGACTGAATACGAAGGTGTAGCTGGACGCTTTTACACCAGGACTACGCGTTTCATTGTGCTCTCAGGCAGGGTCACAGACTTCCCTGAAGCTGAAATTAGATATTCAGACATTCTTTACAATCCTAGGCGAGGAGGGAGTTTAAAGGTTGAAATTGCAGATGTAATTTTCAAAGCAAAAAGAAAAAGCCATTGTGTGGTGTCTGGCCAGTGCACAGGAGTTCTTGTGGAATGTTAGAAATGACAGCTGCTAGCAGGAGTTTTCATCAAACAAAGACTTTTTAAAGTGGATTTTTGAGGACATGAAGTGATTTTTAAAAATTTTTATATTACACATAGAAGACAATA